CTCTGAAATTTTAGACTGAACACTTGAGTGCATTTTTCTGGTTCCTTTGGAAAAAGGCACGTGTGATGGGGGTGACAGGGACTTCAACCTCAATATTTGAATATAACATGCAGAAAAACAATCTGATGTCTTCACTTTGTTACATTTTCTGAATGGCAGCTGACATGGAAGGCAGATTTTAGACTTGGACACACAAATATGGCAATTAGTTGGCTACTTGAAAGCATTAAAACTGTCTTCTTATTCTTTTTATTTTTAAGTTTAGACTGAAATGGGAAAAGAACTGTTTTAAAGTTGTTGATTGCTGAAGTTCTACTGCATGATTTTGGAATTAAGTAACCTGGCACCTATTGTAAGTTCTGTTTAGGTTACACAATTACAGGTCTAAGCAGTTGCAGTAAAAACTACTCTAATCCTGAAGAAAGCCAGTTTATTTTTCCTTCAGTTGCTTGTAAGCTGTGACTTTAACAAATGAGAGCCACTCACCCCAGGCCTCCTACAAAACCAGCGAAAGCACCTAGAGAAGAAAGACTGGAAAGCTACATTCTGATCAGCACAAGAACCATCTTTGCAGATCCTGTGAACAGAAACCACAATACCATTTTCTCATTTTTCCCTCCATCAGTAACACCTATTTTTATTCCTGTCTGTGTCTGTCTGTGTGTATGTGTGTCTATAGGGACCGTTTAAAAGGAGGTTAGAGTTTTAACTAGTAGAGTTCTATGTCAGTGGTTCATAATTGTTTATCTGTAGCTGCAGTCTATAACTTGTAGTAGATAGTAATTCTTATTAACTACAGAAACCCGGTCCATACTTTCTGTCGACGTGATGTGAAAAGGCTGTATCTTCGGATACCCCTAAAAGGCTCCCATTGTGCATGCAGACTTTGGGAAATACTCTGCCAGTTAAAAAAAATATGGTGTCCAGATAAGCATAACATGTAAGAGTGAACAGGATTTAATTATGTCATTGGCTGTTATGCTTTATGTTGCACACGCATACTGAGTGTGACTTTATGGTGTCAGCTGATATTCTCATCTGAATTTGAGATAAATTGGGGAATTCTGCATAATTTTTACTTTTTTTTAACTTCTGTGATAACTTAAGGAATAATTGGGGGTTCATTTCCAGCACATTACTCCAGGGAGATGTAACAAAAGTCACTGAAGAGGATTTCTAAATTTTACTAACACTGTACTAAAACTATGGGTATTCACAGACTTGCTTGTTAAAAGATGGTGGCAAGTAAGTGGAAGCTCTGCAGTGGCTCTGATCAGCAGCCTTGGGGAAAGTTAACCTGGTGTGCCAGGGAGAGTGGAAAAGCAAGGACAGTAGCAAACAAAATTAAGTATGGAGTATAAGGTGCCAGCACCATGGGTTATCCTGCAGAATGCCATTGAGACTGTGTTATTCGAGTAGAGGAAATGGCTGGGGGAAAGGCATAAAAACTCTCCTAAATAGAAAGGCCACCTTGCATGGGTCTCATTCATCCAGTCCTCAGGCCTCCCTCGAGAAAGAGGAGCACCAGGGAGGGAGGCTTAAACACAGACAGTGGGAGATCAGCGGCCAATAAAACGGGGCAATAAAATGGAGATACAGTGGAAGTGAGCAGAGGGGCATGCAAACAGACTCCTGAGTCCAGAAGAGGCTAAACTCCAGATAAGAACAACAATCCGAGGCTTGGCATCATGCAGATGTCCAGGCAGAGGTATATACAAGTAATGTGCCTCTTCAGGAAGGCCATCATTGAATGGTCATTCTAGAATATGCGTTGATCCCCATGGGAGATAATAGCTCCTCATTCGAGTTATGCTGGAGATCACCATTATACCTAAGTTTTACATTTCATGAACTTTACCCACCTGAGATTGGTGTGCAATGCAGGTATCCCAGAATGCTGTTTGGGAGGGAGTTCCAGGATTTTGATCCAGCATCATTGAAAGAATGGAAGTGTCATAATGGTTAATGACTTGGAGGGGAATATACAGGTGTTGGTGTTCCCATGTATTTGCTGCCCATGTTGTCCAGTTCTAGTTGTGGGTTTGGAAGTTGCTGTTTAAAGAGCCTTGGTGAATTTATGAAGTGCATCTTGTAGATGGTAATCACTGCTGCTAATGTCTGTTGGTGATGGAGAGGGTTAATGTGGATGTGGTGCCAATCAAGCAGGCTGCAATGTCCTGGATGGTGCCAAACTTCTTAAGAATTGTTGTATTGCACTCACCCATCACTCTCCTGACTTGTAACATTAGATAGTGGACAGGCTTTGAGGAGTCAGAAGGTGAATTACTTGCTGTAGGATTCCTGATCAGTGGTAACTCTCTGGGATGTTGATAGTAAGGAAATTCAGTGATGGTAATGCCATTGAACGTCAGGCAATGATAGTTAAATTTTCTGTTCGTGATGATGGCCATTGTGTGGCACGAATGCAACTTTTTGTCAGCCCAAGACTGGAAATTGTCATTTGGGCACAGACTCTTTTAGTACATGAGGAGTATTGCACAGTGCTGATCATTGTGCAATTTGAATACTGTCATAGGAAATGGTTATATTTTTAATTCAGTAAAAATCTGAAATAAATGGCTAGCCAAATGGCAACCAATCACTATCAAACCCACCTGGTTCATTAATGCCCCTTAGACAGCCACAGCAATGTAGTTGATTCTTCGCTGACCCTTTGTTCAATTGGGTGATAAATGCTGGCCTAGACAGTAATACCAATATCCCAGGATTGAATAAAATAAAACAATCCTCCCATTTTCTAAAGCATACTTGTTACCTCCCAGCTTTGTTGGAATGTTTTAAGTGCAGGGTAAGGCTAGAGGCATCTCAGCCTCTCGCATCTTGTTACTGTTTTCTTAGGCTCATGGACAAGTTGATGACATGCAAGTCTGTGCACAACTCTGGCATCCATAGATTCATCTGTTGGATCAGGCTCCCCATGAGGAACACCAGTCTCTTGATACAGCAAGCGAAGCACCATGCTTTTGGAGATATGGCAGCACTCAAGGCCAGAATGGAGACTTCAATTGTCTAAGCTTATGTATACATAGCTTCTGGAAGGTCTACCTAGATTTACCCTTGCTTCCCTGTAGCTGCACAATTGTCACATTGCCAATGACATCAAAATTTAATCCTTTGTTTAGAGTCCTGTTATCCCACATCATAGAGCAGAACGTTCATATTCATCATAAATCTCCGAAACCGATTACTTGTAGGTTGTTTCCATGCCTACCGATTACATGGCTGAAATGGGTGGTTTGATCCTGAAAGATACCAATCTAATTTTGTACAAAACACAGATGGTATGAGTATAGGAGTAGGGATGTCTCGCTTTGAGTATAGTGTGCAGTTTTGGTTTCCTCATCTGCGGAAGGACATTCTTGCTATTGAGATTCACCAGACTGATTCCTGGAATGGCAGGACTGACATATGAAGAAAGACTTGATCAACTGGGCTTGTACTCACTGGAATTTAGAAGAATGAGAGGGAATCTCGTAGAAACATGTAAAACCCTGATGGGATCTCTGCTGTTTGTGGTCTGTGCAAATGAATTGGAGGAAAATATAGCTGGACTAATTAGTAAGTTTGACGATGATACAAAGATTGGTGAAGTTGCAAATAGCGAGGAGGATTGTCAGAGGATACAACAGGATGTAGATCAGTTGGAGGCATAGGCAGAAAAATGGCAGATGACATTTAATCTGGATAAATATGAGGTGATGCATTTTGGAAGATCAAGTACAGGTAGAAATTATAAAGTGAATGGCAGAACGCTTAGGACTATTGATATGCGGAGAGATCTAGGCGTGCAGGTCCACAGATCACTGAAGGTGGCAGGGCAGGTAGATATGGTAGTAAAAAAGGCCTATGGCATACTTGCCTTCATTGGAAGAGGCATTGAGTATAAGGATAGACAAGTTATGCTGCAGCTTTATAGAACTTTAGTTAGGTCACACTTAGAATATTGCGTACACTTCTGGTCATCACCCAACCAGAAGGATGTGGATGCTTTGTAGAATATACAGAAAAGGTTTACCAGGATGTTGCCTGGTATGGGGATTTTAGTTATGAAGAAAGGCTGGATAGACTGGGTTTGTTTTCATTGGAACACATGAAGGGTGACCTGATAGAAGTTTATAAGATTGTGAATGGCATGGATAGAGTGGGAAGTATAAGGCTTTTTCCCAGGGTGGAGGGGTCAATTACTAGGGGACCCAGGTTCAGGGTGCAATGGGGTAAGTTTAAAAGACATGTACAAAGCATATTTTTCACACAAAGGGTGGTGAGTGCCTGGAACGTGCTGCCGGAGGAGGTGGTGGAAGCAGACACAATAGTAGCATTCAAGACGAAGACATGAATAGGAAGGGAATAAAGGGATATGGATCCTGTAAGTGAAGACAGTTTTAATATGGAAGGGAAAATGAGTCGGTACAGGCTTGGAGGGCCAAAGGGCCTAGTCCTGTGCTGTATTGTTCTTTGTTCTTTGGGATTGGACAGGCTAGATGCGCAATTGCCACTGCTCTTGATCTAAGATCTCTGACACTTGATTATAACCCTAAACCCAATCTCACTTCTGTGTCATTCTTAAAGTTCCTGGTCTCCTTTCCTTCACCTAACTATTGAACATTCCCCTCTCGTCCCAATGGCTTTTCTGAGTCCCCAGTCCTCCAAGGCAACCCAATCCCTCCTGCCTCGATAATACAACCTGATCACTTACTTTTGCAGTCTGACGCAGCAGCGCTGTCTGCATTATTATGTGGTTTGGGGCTCAAAATCCAAGACTGTTTGCATCATTGTGTTTGTGTAGGGCACTAATGCTCAGTGAGTGGTACACAGAAATAGCCACTCCTGGACTTAAGACCCAGTCAATTATCAAGTGGTGTTGTTATCTCTGTTCATACTGTTTGTATGTATGCGTGTGTGTTTCTGTCTGTACATTACTGTTATATTTCATGATTGCAGTTTCCACTCAATGCTCTGATTGATTGGTCTGGTTTCAGATGGAGACATGCCAATACATAATGAAGAGGAGGTAATAGAGAACGGTCAGATCCAGTCTTCAGAGACGGAGGAAAGGGTGCCTGAGCCTGTGTCAGGTGAAGTCGTAGCAGACAGTGCAACCCTCTGTACAGAATCAACAGATAAGCCAGGTGGTATTTGTCTCACAACAGAATCAGATTTATCTATCTTATCACACTAGATTGTGGCATTGCAAGCAGCTCATAGTACGAATATATTTAGTGGACCATATTCTCAACATTACAAATTGTGATAGCTTTATAAGTGGAGTAAATTATGACAAAGGCCAGTATGACAAGAGGTGCTGTTACAAATTGAATTTTTAGTTCTTTTGTTAATGAAGACTGAAGCTGGTGTTTTTTACATGCTGCTATCTGAGCAGAACAGTGTTTAGTTATGTTGTTTTTCAGGGTGCAGAGAAGCAGCTGGGATTTAGTCTGTTTCTCCAACATAAGCTCTGAGTGAAGTAGCATCAGCAGGAACAAATTGTGAATTTATCAAAAGTACTGTCAAATAATTTGACAGATATATAAAGCTTTTTTGTTTTGATCAGCTATCAATTCAACTGACTAACTTATGTGATCCGTGACAGCTTTAAAGCTGTGCAGAACTAGTGGTTGCTTGAATATTCCAAATGGTGTGCTAACCTAAAGTGGTTGAGATAGTGAGCCAGTAGGGTCTGCACATCATGGGCTGAATATTGTTGGGCAAACAATAGGGGGTGCAGAAAGTGTAGAACATTCTGGCCTCTGCTGATCCTGACTTGATTCTATGGCAATCAAACCAATAAAGATAAATGTAAAGTCACCATAGTCCTACCAGACCATAGGGCTGCTCCCTCATTAGAGAGAGACAACTCAGGTGAAGGGAGAGGCTGAGAAGTAGAGTCTGTTACGGTAATTTAAGCTGGTGCGGGAATTGAACCCACACTGCTGGCATCACTCTGCGTTGCCCAGCCAAATAAATTAACTAATCCAAATGAGGCCGAAAGTTAGGGCTCGTATTCCTCCAAGGACAGTCAACCTGCCTCCACAAGCTGTTGGCAAATTAAAGGGCTGGCAGCTCTTCAGTCCCAGCCACACCAAAGGGAGCACTGTCCATGGCTGAATCTGTGTGCAGCCCAGAGTAACCTTGGGACCAATCTAAGTGGGCTTAACATCACTGGGGCTGTCTGAAATGGCAAGCCAGTGTGAGTGGGCGGTCATTGGTGGAGGGGATGGTGGTAGGGGAGGACAGGGGAATATGTTTGCTTGGGGCTGTCCCTAGTCTTCAGGTGAGCCACAGACAGTGCCCCTTCCTCCTACAGCCCACAGGGAGGCTCCCATGCTTTCTGAGTTGGCCTCCCCATATGGTACAGGTCATTCGCTAATGGTAGAGTGCCATTTTTATGGGCCGTTAAGTGGCTCTTAATTGGCCATGTAAAGAACTCATTTTGCTTTTGTGCTAGGAGGCTGTCCTTCACCTTCTGTTTTGCTGAGTGAATTCAACAAGATGGGGCAGACAATGGCACTGCACTGCCATTTACTTCCTGGCTCTCTTCACATCCTATAATAATACTTCCGGGTTAATTTCATTCAATTAAGCACCCAGCAGTAAACAGCAGCATCAAGTACAATGGTAGGAGAACAAACAGGAGGCTGGAAGAACACAGCAAGCCAGGCAGCATCTGGAGGAAAGGAGCAGTCATCGTTTCGGGTATTACCTTTCAAGACTCAGCCACCAATGTTTCGGATATTACCCCTCTTCAGTGGTAGGAGAACCCCAGCAGAGGGCAAAATCAATGCTCATTCACTACAGCAGCTTCCTCCCATCTGAATTAGTCTCAAACTTTCAACGTATCCTTTTATTCCTTTCTCTTTCATGGGTTTACCTTGATTCCCCTTAAGTGCATTAATGCACACTTTATATGATAGAAATAACAGTGTGGAGCTAGAGGAACACAGCAGGCCAGGCAGCAGCAGAGGAGGAGGAAAGCTGATTTTTCTGAAGAAGTGTCCCAACCCGAAACGTCAGCTTTCCTGCTTCTCTGATGCTGCCTGGCCTGCTGTGTTCCTCCAGCTGCACACTGTGTTATCTCAGACTCCAGCATCGGCAGTTCTTACTATCTCTTATAAGATAGAAAGCTGCACATTCTCAGTATTCTTTGAGTGGTGACGTTTCTCTTGAGTTCATCATTAGATTTATTAGTGACTATCTTACATTTATGAACAATAGTTTTGGAAAGCTGAGATGAGTAAACTATTGGCAGGTTATTCCAGGCGAGCCAGGCGATAATAGCATTTCAACTGAAAATGTAGGAAAATCTGCTTATAACGAGGATGGATATTGTATTGAAAGACTATAACACAAACATAGCTTTGCAAGCTTAAAATGAACATTGCATTCAATGTGGTGGGCATGTGTGATCTTAGCCAGAAATACAATCTCTACATAATGCTGTGCCAGCAAATCAGCCATTTAAGGCCTTAACTATCTTAAATAGAGGTTCATCCTTTTGTATTTGTACATTTGGAAAATTGTAATGTCAATAAAACTTTTTTGATGCTTCCTTTACCAAATTGGCTTGCTCTAAGTACAGCTGAAAACCAGTGGCAGTTAAAAGAATGACTGCAGGCTGTGACTAAGAGCTTTAAAAAAAGACTTGTGATTATTAAGTCATGGGGTGCAGGTCTGCTCCTCCTGGTTCCACATTAAAATGACAAACTGAAACTTCCTCTCTCCTTGCTAACACTACTTCAACCTGTTTCCTGATTGTCATTCTGCTGCTAAGATTAGCTGGAGGTCAATGCTAATAAACCAATAATCAAGGAAATTTGAGAGTATTTAATTAACATCTGTCCTCCGTCAACACTGCAATAGGTTCCTGATACTGTTAGAAAAAGGTTTGCCATTACTTTTTCAAGAAAAACTAGAGGACAAGCAATACGTTCTAACCTTGCTAGCAATATCAATGTCTTGTCCCTATTTCCTTGATCTTTTATTCCTTGTGTTAATTTTCAATTCATTTCTGTTTGATTGAGAGCATTCAATGCATTCTTGCATTTAATAAATTTCAGTTGTGTTTTAAGTAGTACTTAAGAGCATAAGAACTAGAAGCAGGAGTAGTAAATTCAGCCCCTCAAGCCTGCTCGACCATTTCATATTATCATGGCTGATTTCATCTTGGTCTCAATTTGATTTTTCTGTGTACTCTCCACAACCATTCAACTCATCACTAATTAAAAATCTGTCTGTCCATCTCCCCCTTAAATGTACTCAATGTTCTGACATCCACCACAGTCTGAGGGAGTGAATTCCACACATTCATGGCCCTTTGAAAGAAGTAATTTCTCCTCAACTTTGTTTTAAATCTGTCACCTCTTATTCTTATTAAAGTAACTCTTATCAGTTTTTATTCCACAATGACTCTTACCAATGTTTATAGATGCACCATAGAAAGCATCCTATCCAGATCACCACAGCTTGGTATGGCAGCTGCTGTGCCCGACACTGCAAGAAATTAGAGAGAGTTGTGAATGCATCCCGGTCCATCACGAAAACCAGCCTGCCTTCTATTGACTCCATCTACATTCCCCGCTGCCTTGGGAAAGCAGCCGATATAATCAAAGACCTCCCAACTCTGTTATTGTGTCTTCCACCTTCTTCCATTGGGCAGAACATACAAAATTTTAAAAACACGCATCAACAAATTCAAGAATAGCTTCTTCCCCATGTTATCAGACTTATGAATGGACCTCTCAAATATTAGAGTTGATCTTTCTCTGCATCTTCTCTATATTCTGCATTCTGTTCCATTACCCTGATTTACTCATGTAAGGTATGATTTGTCAGGATAGCTCACAAATCAATACCTTTTACTGCATCTCGGCACATGTAACACTAATAAGTCAAATCAAAAAAGGATGACCTTTCATTCTAGATTGCCCTATATGAGGAAGCACAATCTCTACATCTACTTTATCAATCCTGTTTAGCATCTTGTATATCGCAATTGGATCTTTTCTCAATCTTCTAAGCTCCAGACAGTCTTGACCTAAACTGCTCAATCTCTCTTTATAAGACAAATCTCTCATTTCTGGAATCAATTTAATGAACCTCCTCTGAACTGCCTCCAATGCAACTACATCCCTCCACATGTCGGGGATCATGGTGGCACAGTGCCTCACAGTGCCAGGATGCAGGTTTAATTCCAGCCTTGGGTGACTGTCTGTGTAGAGTTTGCACATTCTCCCCGTGTCTGTGTGGGTTTGCACTGGGTCCTCTGGTTTCCTCCCACAGTACAAATATGTGTGGTTGGGTGGATTGGCCATGCTAAAATTGCCCTACGGTTTCCAGGGATGTGCAGGTTAGGTGGAGTAGCCTTGGTAAAATCAGGGTTACAGGAATAGGGTGGAGGGCTTGGATCCGGTTCGGATGCTCATCAGACGGTCTGTGCAGACTTGATGGGCTGAATGGCCTCTATCTGCACTATAGGGATGCTATGACCAAAACTGTATGCAGCAGTCCAGGTGTGGTCTCACTAATGCCTTATACAGTTGCAGCAACACTTCTGTGCTTTTATACTCTACTCTGTTAGGAAGAAACGTCAAAATTCCATTTTCCTTCTCTAACATCTGTCATATCTGGGTGCTTTTTTTCTGTAATTCATGCACAACGTCACCCAGATCTCTCTGCGTCAAAGTAGTCTGGAAAGAAAAATGCAGACATTAAGTTTTTATTTGATCTTGTATTACTTCCCATATCTAAAATATGCCAGACTAAACAAATTTTGCTAAAGAAAGAAACAAATGGACAGACTTTTGGTCTGGAAAGAAAAATGCAGAAATTAAGTTTTTTTTTTATTTATCTCAAAGCACTCAGAAGTGTCTCTCCATTTAGATAACAAGTTGCCTTTCTGTTCCTCTGATCAAAATGGATAACCTCACACTTATCCACATTAAACTTTACCTGTCGAATGTTGGCCCAATCACCTAACCTATCCATATAGAGTCATATAGCACAGAAAGAGACCTTTCGTCCAACCAGTCCATGCCGACCATAATCCTAAACTAAATTAGTCCCACTTGGCCCATATCCCTCCAAACATTTCTTATTCATGTACTTATCTAAACGCGTTTCAAATGTTGTAACTTTACCCACATCCACCACTTCCTCTGGAAGTTCATTCCACACACGAACGACTCTGTGTAAAATAATTGCCCCCATGTCTTTTTTAAATCTTTCTCCTCTGACCATAAAAATATGACCCCTAGTCTTGAAATCCCACACCCCAGGGAAAAGACTCCTGCCGTTCACCTTATCTATGCCCCTTGTTATTTTACAACCCTCTACAAGGTTACCTCTCAAACTCCTACACTTCAGTGAATAAAGTCCCAGCCTATCCTGCCTCTCCTTATAACTCAAACCCTCCGTTCCTGGCAACACCATGGTAATTCTCTTCTGAACCCTCTCTAGTTTAATAATATCCTTTCTATAACAGGGAGACCTGAACTGGATATAATATTCCAGAGGAGTCCTAGCCAATGTCGTGTCCAACTTCAACATAAAGTCCCAACTCCTATACTCAAAGGTCTGAGCAATGAAGACAAGCATGCTAAACACCTTCTTAACCACCATATCTATGTGTGGTGCAAATTTCAAAGATTATGTACCTGAACTCCTAGGTCTGTCTATTCGACAATACTGCCCAAGGCCTTACTTTTAATTGTATAAGTCTTGTCTTTGTTTGTTTTACTAAAATGCAATACCTCACATCTATCCAAATTAAACTCCACTTGCCACTTCTCAGCCCATTGACCCAATTGATCAAAATCTCTTTGTAATCTCCAATAACCTTCTTTACTGTCCACTATATCACCAATCTTTGTCATCCACAAGCTTACTTACCATGCTTTCTATATTCTCGTCTCAATAATTTATATAAATGACAAACAAAAGTGGAGCAGCACCTATCCCTGCGGAACACCACTGGTCACATTCCTCCAGTCCGAAAAACAACCCTCCACCATCACTCTATCTCCTGCTGTTAAGCCAATTTTGTTTCCAATTGGCAAGCTAACCCTGAATCCCATGTGATTTAACTTTAAAGTCCAAGCAATCAATGTCTACCGCTCTGCCTTCATCAATCTTCTTGGTTACTTTCCCAAAAAACTCAAACAAGTTTGTAAGACACGATTTCCCTCACGCAAATCCATGCTGACAATCACTGATCATTCCTTGCCTCTCCAAATGCACATTAATCCTATCTTTCAAAATCACTTCTAACAACTTACCACCACTGAAGTCAGATTCACAGGTCTATAGTTTCCAGGCTTCTTTTTACATCCTTTCTTAAACAAAAGCACAATGTTAGCCTCTCTCCAGTCGTTCAGTGCCTCACCCATATTTATAGATGGATTTATAGATTTTTTCATGGTGAAAATTGATACGAAATGTTCATTTAATATCTCTTCCATTCCCTAAGGTTAAACACAAAGATGATCTCTTTGATCTTTAAGGGGCCCTACTCTCTCTTTAGTTGCTATCTTGCTGTTAATGTACTTGTAGAATCTTATTGGATTATCTGTAACATTATTTGCCAAGGCTATCACATATCCTCTTTGCTTTCCTGATCTCCCTCTTAAGAATGCCCAAACACTCTTTATACTGTTCAAGAGATTCATTTGAACCCAGTTGTTTATATCTGAATTATGATTTTTTTTGTCTATCGCCAGAACCTCAATATCTGTATTCATCCATTGTTCTGTAATCCTACCAGCCTTATCTTTCACTCTAACAGGAACATAATGAATCTGAACTCTTGTTATCACACTTTGAAAACCACCCACTTACCAGACGTCCCTTTATCTGCGAACAGTCTACTCCAATCAATTCTTGAAAGTTCTTGTAAATGTATCCATTTCTAAATTTCTTATTTCTTCATTACAAATTACTTTTCCATCTAGTTTAGTGGCATCTACAAATTCGGCCCCAGTTCTTTCTATCTGTCATCCAAACCATTAGTATAGATTGTAAATAGTTGTGTCCTGGGGACTGAACCCTGTGGCAGCCCATTAGTCACATCTTGCCAACCAGAGAAAGACCCATTTATCCTGGCTTTCTGTTGATTAGCCAGTGCTCTATCCAAGCTAACCCCATCTGACCATGTGTATAACCTTTTGTGCAGCACCTTATCAAATGCTTTCTGGAAGTCCAGATATACTACACCAATGGGATCTCTGATATTGATCTTTACAAATGAAAGAAAGGGATACAAGACATCTTTTGTGTACTGAACTAAGATATACAAATTACATTGCATGACTTCAAACAAATAATCTTGTTTTCTTTTCCCTGTGTAATTGATTTGATTATTTTTACATTTACTGCACTCTTCTATATTCTCATGGAATTGAATTTTCAGCCCCTAGTTCAGCCCCTGATCAGCACACAGATGCAGAAGTTTATGCTTAGTAATCAACATTCTACTTCTCTAACTCCACTTCACCTTTTGGCCAGTTTTTGGGAGGCCCCTGCAAGTGGTGAGTAGTCAATGGAGGCATTTAAAGGCCAATTACGGCCTTCTGTTTGAGACTAATTGAAATTTTCTTGTCAGCCTCCATGAACTATAGGCAGTGAGGAAAATGCAGCTATTGGAGCGTCCACTAACCCTATCATAGTCAGGCTTACAGACCTTCCTGCCTTCTTGAGTTCAGTTGCTGCAATAGGCTACTCTGAGGAAGGATCTCTCCCTTTGATCATAGATCACAGAATCCCTACAGTGTAGAAATAGGCCTTTTGGCCCAACAATTCCACACCAACCCTTGGAGCATCCCGCCCAGACCCAGCCCCCTTTCACCCACCTAAGCTACACATCCCTGAACACTACGGGCAATTTAGCACAGCCAGTCCGCCCAGCCTGCACATCTTTGGACTGTGGGAGGAAACCAGAGCACCTGGAGGAAACCCACACAGACACAGGGAGAATGTGCAGACTCCACACAGACAGTTGTCCCAGGGTGGAATCGAATCTGCGTCTCTGGTGTTGTGAGGCAACAGTGCTAACCACTGTGCCACCCTGGCGTTTTACTTTATACTTTAAAATGTTTGAGAGAGGGAGCCCCTTTATTATGGGACACCACTCTCACTTACCTGCTTGGGCATTCTGCTGCTATCTCCATGCTGGGTGCAGCATCCTACTGCCCTCCAGCTAGAAATCTAATACTGGTCATATTAGTTCTCCATTTTGAAATATAGGAGATAAATCAGATGAGTATGTCTCATTTACCACTTTCACTGGTTATTCCTTCTCTGGTTTGAAGTCCACCTTAAATATACAACAAACTTGCCCTCTGACCATAATTGGTTAATTTGGCATAAATCACATTGAGTTACTATGTCCCACGCAGCAGAGACATCTGAACCCCAATCGAACTTGTATGGTGAAATTCTGAAGCCACAAGGAAAATCCTTTCCTTGATGTCTGTCTTCAAAGTTTAAAAAAAATGCCTCCCTTAATCAGTAAGACTTTGTTAATTAATATTCCTGATAACAGATCTAATGCAAAAGGAATACCAGAGAAGTTGAGTATAAAGTTGGTAGGATCTGTATAATTTTCAGTAGCCCCCATGGGTTTCCATCCCTGAGTAACCAGAATCTCAGCACCAGAATTTTTAAAATGGTTATTTTCTGATTATCCTTCTAGGAACAAACTCATCTACAGATGACGCATATCAGAAATGCCCATGTCTGTGCTCATGAATTGCCCATGTTTGTCTGACCTCTTTTATAATCCTGGTCAATATTCAAATTTTCAGTACAGAAACGTTAATTGGATTTGACAGTTGCAATTTTAAGTAGACAGGGGAAAATGTTACAAAATTTAGGTGTTCTATTTAACCATTTGCTCTTATACATACTGTTTGAAGCTTTTTAACCTTGCTGAACTTTTTGCAGAAATCCTTGAATGCTGAATTTCTTTGCTTTTCTATTTTAAACATTACAAATTCTATTTGTGTCTCTAGCTGCTGAAGAAAGTCCCACAGATAATAGGACATTAGTCCCTGAGCAGGATACATCAGCTAAACCACAATTGCTACTGCCTTCTAAAAAGTCTGCAGCTTTTCACTGTGACATTGAGGAAACCCCTGCAAAGCAACAATCCTATCCTAAACAACCCCCTGCCCTACCTCCAAAACCACTATCGAGGATTGCCAACCATATCGCTGGTAAGTTCTGATCATCTGGCTTTTAAGGCTTCACACCAATAAATGTGCATTTTTTCTAATTATGACTGTGTTATATAAGGTAGCTTGTCTACCTATGTAGAATTTAAATTGAATGTTTTTTTTTAAAGAATTTCCATGTTGCTTCTGGGTATTTGTAGATTCAGGTGGCCTAACAAGAAAAGAAATTAGATTGTGTACATGCACAGTTATAATTTAGACATTTTGTAGAACTGTTTCCTCTTTCAACAGCACCCTGTTAACCTTACATGTGTGATGCAGATGCTTTACCCTTTTCTACACTGTGCACATCAGAGGAGTTAGTATGAACATTAATCATAGTTTGCGATTTACTAAATTTTGTACTCTTACACAACATTTGTGTTTTTCAAGATGTTACATTTACATTGAGGTAAATAATAATCTCCTGCTTTTAACACTTAACTGAAGTATTGGTTCTGGTCCACAATTTGCTTGATGTATTGGTTCTCAAATTCCATCAACAGTACTTCACAGATATGCACAATTTACACAATTCCATATGAATGTCACTAATCGAATGTAACATACATAGTAATTTCACATGTCAATATCAATAATATAAAACTGTACAATAAGAACAAGTTCTTCAACATGAAAAGAACAATTAAAGTAAGGAACCAGTCATTTTGAGGTAAGTTGAATCGGCATTCCTACATTGCTACATATTCATGCAGTTAGTCCAAGTAATGCTGGAGAGAAAGAGAGGAGCGGTTGTAAAAATACAAATTTTGGAGTATTAACAGACATGGCCAAACTAAGGCACATTAGAATTGGAAAAAAGTAGATGCATATAAGCAAGGAGTGTCAGTTAATCCAGCTCTAATGTTGTTACAGTGAATTGAAATTATGTTCATAATATTCGATAAATTTTCAGCTATGGAATTCATCTTTGATCTGAGATTTGTATCTTCCAGATAACTCAGGTTTATAAAAATGTTTTAAAATTACATGCATAAAAGAGCTGGTTGGGACCAAACAAATATGGGAAAATATTTTGCCAGTTCAATTGAGCCATGAGACTTAAAATGCTTTGATTTTGTGTTTTCCAAAATCCTATATTGAATTAGTTTTTAGAATTGCACTACTCAAGTTTAAGTTTTGTTCTGTTTAAGTTTTACATTTCTAATTACATTTTTTTCAATAATACAACCATAAAAGCTGGTAGTATTCCAAATGATCTTAGGCCACGCAATGTTCCCATTTCCAAGGGCAAATGTAAAGTGCAGTCATGCGTTTCAAGCCAGAGGACACAATCATCATAGTTTGGCATAGAACTGACGTGGGACTGAGTCCATGCTTTCAATGGAGAGTTTTGCACGAATGAAACACAAATTGGAGAAGTAGAGTTACTGCCCTGCATCTCTGTCTTCAGTCTGCACACCCTTCAAGTGTGGTCCTGCTGGGGTACGGGATCATTAATTCTTCATTTATAATAGAGTAATACCAGCATTGGCAAAACATTTCATCTTCTACCAGTGTGCATTTTTACATCTCCCATACCTTGTATCCTTGTTATCTCAGTGTGTGAGATTGTTAACATGATGGCAAATTAAATTGCATTTGGGATAGGTTTAAGTTACATGTATCATCCTAATCTTACTAAAGAATAAATTTCCCAAAATATTTCAAGTTAGAACTCTTATGTCAGTAGGTCAAAAATACATTTTTTCTCATGGTCTGGCTAGATTTAAATGTGGGTTAAATGTCTCTTCAGAGGTAGAGTGAATATACCACACTCACTTGTACTGTCATCATTGTCACTGATTCTCACAAAAGTGTCAAATGTAACTACTCAGATTTTTAATTTCAGAGTTGAAAAAGATTTCCCATTTTACATTTTTCTTCCCCTCTTTTAGGTTTCCCTGCAGCCTACACCATACCTCGACTGAGAAGGCAGACAGACAGGCAGGCAGCCTACTCCCACGACTCTACCGTTGGTGCTTGTAAAAGACCAGTGGGACACACGAGAGTGATCCGGGGTGAGTTGCCTCTGTCTCTGTCTTCCCGTGCAAAAGAGCCCAGCCTGCACTCAGTATGTGGCTATTAGGGTGTGACAAAGATCAGGAATTTGTCATTCAGACATCTACAACAAACTGCTGCAATTTAAAAATATTATACCTGCCATGTTAAGTTCTTCATGACTCACATTTTGAAATGTTTGTGTGGTTTTCTGATTTACATATGAACACATTACTTTGCCTCTGCAATGTATATGTAACTGATTATTTTAAACTGGTTTTTTTAGTATCTTATATTACTTTATCCACAACAGCAGGTTAGAATGCATGACAGGTGTTGGGAATGCTATTGGATATGATTTTAGATTTTTAATCCTCAGCAAGGTCTATTTTAAATGAGACGATTTTCTTTTGGGATGTAAGCACATTGTAATGTCAGCATATAATGCCCATCCCTAGTTGCCCTTGAGAAAATTTAAGTGAGCTGTTTTCTTAAACCACTGCAATGACACTTGCAGCAGATACATCTACTACTGCTCAGAAGGAAGTTCCAGGATTTTGACCCAGTGACAGTCAAGCGACAGCAATATAGTTCCAAGTCAAGATGATGTCTGGTTAGAGGAAACCTTGCAGGCAGTGATTTTTCCGTACATCTGGCCTAGTCTGTCTGCTTTGGAGGAGGACCTGTATTTGGAAGATGCTGTTAAAGGAACCTCAGACAGCTAATTTGTAGGTGGTACATACTGCAGCCCCTGTGCATCAGTGATGAATGTTTAAGGTGGTGGATGGGGTACCAATCAGATGGGCAGCTTTGTATTAGATGGTATTGAGCTTCTTGAGTGTTGCTGGAGTTTCATGCATCCAGGCAAGTGGAGAATGTTCCAATGTACTCCTGCCGTGTGCCTTGTCAATGGTGGACAGGTTTTGGCATATTGGGACAGGAGTTATTTGCGCAACCTTTGACATGCTTTTGTACCAAGTCCAATGAAGCTTCCAGTCAATGATGACTCTTAAGATATTGATTGTAGATGATTCTGCGATGTTAATATCATTGAAAGGTGCTTAGATTTTCTCTTGTTGGAAATGGTCAGTAGCACTCTTATGAAGCAAATATCACTTGTCAGCCAATTCTGAATGCTTTCTAGATCTGTGCAGGCACAGTCTGCTTGATAATCTGAGCAGCTGCAAATAGTATTGAGAACTTGAAATTATCAACAAACATCCCCCTTCTGTTTATGTTGGATGTCTGATGAAACAACGAAAATGTTTGGATGTAATGCAGTACTTTGAGGGAACATGTTCAGTAATATCTTAAAGCTGAAATGATTGGTCTCATAATATTTTCCCTTGAATGTGTCAGGTATGACTCCAACCAGTGGAGAGCTTTTCCCCTGGTTCCCATTGACCTCCATTTTGTTAGGGTTTCTTGATGCCACACAAGTCTGTCACTATACTCCAGCTCATTACTTAAAAAAAAAATTTCAGTTCATTCTCTAAAATGTCAAAGTACCGCATAAAAGCCTGGTTAACAAAATTGAGGCTAATAGAATTGGAGATGCTGTTGGCTTGGGTTTTAAGAAAACTGGCCTCAGGACAAAAAACGGTGAATCAAAGTAAATGGTTTCGCAGGTTGAAGGATAATTGGTAGCGATATTTCCCAAAGTTCCATGAAAGGACTGTTGTCTTTTCAAAATATGTACAAAGGATGCAGCAAATTTTGTAACAATCTCCCAGGGATTGATGGGCAAAGCTAAAAGTGAGCAACACTGCACTGCACTGTGGCAGAGTATCTGTTAAGGAATATTTTTAGTCACAGCAGCAAATCACTACACAACATTCAATTGTAGTGTAGCAACTAAAATATCTCAACATGCTTTATTTTCCTTCAACATCAGACCCTTTACTACATACCATAATAAAGTTTTTTTTTATGCTAAGGATTGTACATTCTGCAGGATTTTCTACTTAATTTTGAGATAACCATACAAGTGTTAGATGGAGTCTGGAACCATGTTGTCAGTTGAATGAGTAATCAATGGGCTTGTTTTCCTCTAATTAAAACTTCTCCTTGTGTGGTGTACTGCTGCACATTATCATCTGAGGTTGGTTTACCATATCTGGCAAGTAGTAAATGTAATGGACAGCATTGGCTTAGACTGAACAAAGAGTTCAGTTTCAAAGCTCACTGATGTTTCCTGCCAGCAATCTAAGTGAAAAGCTCTACCAGAAGGAAATAGTCTTAAAAATACCAATACCTATGAAATATAATGCACCTGACAAAATAAAGTGGATGACAACAAGAACTAGGGTGGTTACTTAGCTGATCTCAAGGACAAGCAATTGTTTAATTTTCCCATGAGTGGTAAAAAGCTATTTTAATTAGCAGGAGTTGAGGAGGCACTGCACCTTATTAAACATAGAACATTACAGCAAAGGGACAGGCCCTTTGGCCTATAAGATGATGCCCCTTGGCCTATAAGATGATTATACAGACATGTCTGTGCCAACCATGATGCCATTCTAAACTAATCCCATCCCTACACCTGATCTGAAACCCTCCATTCCCAGCCTGTTCATGTGCATGTCTAAATGCCTCTTAAAAAACGTTATCATATCTGCATCTACCATCTCCACTGGCAGTGTATTCCAGGCAACTACTCTGTGCAAAAATCTTTCCTCGCACATTTCCTTTAAACTTTTCCCCACAAACCTTAAATCTATGCCCCCTGGTATTTGACATTTCCATCCTGGGAAAAAGACTCCAACTATCCACCCTATCCATGCTGCTCATTATTTTATATACTTCAATCAGGTTGCCTCTCAGCCTCTAACACTCTAGCAAAAACAATCAAATCTCTACTTACAGCTAATACACTCCAAACTAGGCTACATACTGATAAACCTCTCTGCACAAAAAAACCAAAGAAAACTATCGGTGCTAGAAATCTGAAACAAAAACAGAAATTGCCGGAGAAACTCGGCAGGTCTGAATGCATCTGTGGAGAGAAAGCAAAGAATGTTTTGGGTTCAGTGACCCTTCTTTAGAACCTCTTTTGTACCCTCTCCAAGGCCTCCACAGTCTTCTTACAATGTGGTGACCAGAACTGCACATGGTTCTGCAGATGTGACCTAACTAAAGTCTTATGCGGCTGCAAAATGACTTGCGAACTTCTATAGTCAATGTCCAACTCAATGCTTTCTTTACCATCTTATTCACTTCTGTTGCCACTTTCAGGGAGCTATGGACTTGCATTCCAAGATCCTTCTGTATATCAGTGCTCTTCAGATTCTTGCCATTTACTGTGTATTTTCCTCTTGCATTTGACCTCTCAGAAAGCATCACCTCACACTAGTCCAGATTAAACTCAATCTGCCATTTCTCGGCCCAACTTTCCAACTGATCTATATAATGCAGTATTCCTTGTCAACCTTGCTCACTATCCACAGTTTCATCAATTTTCATGTCTTCTGCAAATTTACTAATCATCTACGTGGATCATCTATACTTTTATCCAAATTGTTTATATAGAATCATAGAATCCCTGCAGTGTGGAAACAGGCCATTCAGCCCAACAAGCCCACATGCCCCTCCGAAGAGCATCCCACCCAGATCCATTATCCTAACCCTGATTTCCCATGTCTAACCTACCTAACCTAAATGTCCCTGGGCACTGTGGGCAATTTAGCATTGCCAATCCACCTATCCTACACATCTTTGGACTGTGGGAAGAAACCGGAGCACCCAGAGGAAACCCATGCAGACACGGGGAGAATGTGAAAACTCCCCACAGACAGTCACCCAAGGGTGGAATTGAACCCGGGTTTCTGGCACTGTGTGGAAGCTGTGCTAACCACTGAGCTACCGTGCCGCTCATGTGATTGTTGATTCAAAGTTTCTCCTGACATAGTCTGATTTATGTTTAACCCGTTTTATTTAAAGGTCCCATAGCCTGACGTCCAGACTTGAATTTTACTTTTTATCTGCAGTGAATTGCTCAAATTCTGCAGAATAGGGCTGTAGTGATTGGAACCACGGCCAGGTGGATCTCATTGACTATGAGATCCTTGCTTGGGGTTGTTAACCTGGGCCAATCAGGGAGCCATGGTTGACTGCTATGAACAGGAGATTCAGAGGTCTTCTCAGTCCAGGGCCTGGCTTTGAACTGGCTTGTCAGAGCCCACATGCTGTGCACATGTAAACAAAGGGTGACTTGGTGACGGGATACCAGCCCCTGTGCAGTTATTTGAAGGATCATCATGAATCATAGTGTATCACAAAGATATCTGCAAATCTCTCTTTGTGATACCAGTAAAATATTGCTGTGTCTCCTTTCAGCTGACTGCAACCTTACTTTAAAAAAGACAGACCTAACTAAGATATATCAAATCGTTGATGCATTATTTAATCCATAAACATACTTGTTTAATTTTCATAGTGTCCCTTCTACACAACCACCTTAAGTGGTTTTAAAAATACTTGTCTTTGAAATTCTTGACTCTACAAAAATATACCTTTTGTATCAATTGACCTGTGATTCTAAAAATATGTGGCTAAGAGAGCTAAGAAAATCTACAAGATCGCTTTTCCTGAAATGGGGTCTTCTTTCCAAAACCGCAAGCCACTGGTCTCGCCTTATATATCCCATCATGAAGTACCTGTTTCAATGCATATCCATCTGTGTAGTAAAGCTGGCTTTCCCTATCTAGCACCTCAACATATATACTGATTTTTTTTTCCCAATGATCTTTCTTTTGTTTCACATCTCTTAGCAGTATATCTTCTAATTTGTTTGTATTCACAAAAACATCTTGATCATAAACTTCTACTTGTGGCGGTATCTATAGTTTCCCTATTGTCCCGGTTGTGGAAAGACTACAGCCTTGACTTTATCTTTATATGCCCTCTGGACTACTGCTGCATGATTGCTCCCTTCCACATCCAGGCATTCTTTTGCTCATACATGAGCTTTTCCTAGGACCAGCGTCACTTCCAAATCCATTGTGAGAATTTGCACTGAGTT